TTTCAAAATGGATAGAGGCAATTCCAAGTCGAAACAATGATCACAAAATAGTGATAAAGTTTTTGAAAGAAAATATTTTGAGTCGATTTGGAGTCCCTCGAGCCATAATAAGTGATGGTGGAATACATTTCTGCAACAAGCCATTTGAGTCTTTAATAAAGAAATATAGAATCATACACAAAGTTGTCACTTCTTATCACCCTCAAACAAGTGGACAAGTAGAGCTTGCTAATAGGGAGATCAAACATATTTTGGAGAAAACAATGAACCCTAATAGGAAAGACTGGTCTTTAAGACTTAATGATACACTTTGGGCTTATCAAACTGCTTATAAAACATCATTAGGTATGTCACCTTATAGACTAGTCTATGGAAAATCTTGTCACTTGCCTGTGGAACTTGAACATAAAGCTTATTAGGCTATTAAAGCTTTTAATTCAAATATGGATGATGCTAGTCAACTACAAAAATTACAAATAAATGAGCTTGAGGAAATAAGAAATGATGCATATGAAAATTCAAGAATTCATAAAGCAAGAATTAAAGAGTTTCATGACGAGAAAATACTGAGAAAAACATTCAATGTTGGTCAAAAAATCTTGCTTTATAATTCTCGACTGCATTTATTTCCTAGAAAATTAAGATCAAGATAGAGTGGTCCTTTTATTGTGAAACATGTGTATCTATATGAGGCCTATGACATCGAGAATCCAAAGAATGACAATGTTTTCAAGGTAAATGGACATCGTCTGAAAGTTTACTTTGATAATTTTTCAGTTAAACATGACTCTATTGAATTAGGTGATCCTGTATATAAAGATTGATTTTTATTTTTTTTTTCTTTTTGAGTGATTTTTGCTAGTTTCTCTCACCCCAGTCAAATGGCGGATAACGGTACTTCGTGACTTAAGTCGGTTATTTTAGTTTCCCACAATAACTGATATCTGTGTATCTATTTATGTAATTCTTTGAATCTCTCTTCCAATTCTCATTTGAAAATGGACACTAATCTTGAAAAATTGAAAAAGTATTTTCTCGCTTTGCCTCAGAATGCGATTACAAAAATTTACCGTGCTAGATGTGCAAGATTGAGATTGTTAATGAATTATGGAATTCCTGAAGATATTCGCTGGTTGATTGAAGCAAAGGTCCGATTATTAGGTGAGTCCTCTAACTCCTTTATTTCACATATGCCTGGAATAGGTAAAAGCACTTTTGCAAAGAAACATCGTGCAAAACGACTGAAAGTCTGTCATCGATGTGCTAGATGGACTTGTAATACACAATGTCATTCTTTAGGAATGGTATCTATAAACCATGAAGATAAAATACAATTCATTAAGGATGGCCTAAGTAAGGAGTCTTTAGATAATCTTCTATTAACTCTTGAAACGCATCCTAGTGGAGATGTGCATCGTGTAATTCATGATTTATGGCTACTATTTCATAAAGAACATGATCGACTTTGTCTTGGGAATTTGACTAAAAAAGACCTTGTTTGCTAGTTTTTAAGAAAACTGGATGGGAAGCCTATCCCCGACCCATAGAGGGCGTTTAAGTCGTTCTTGAACGTAAAACCAAGGGAAGATGTGAACCACAATCACAACTACCTGTACATACACATGCTTTTTCAAAAGTAAATAAATAAAGAGAGAGAGAAAGAGTGAG